TGACGAATCACGAGAGGACGCACACGGGAGAGAAGCCCTATCGGTGCTCCGACTGCGGGAAAAGCTTCAGCGACAGGTCGAGCCTCATCAAGCACGAGAGGATCCACACGGGAGAGAAGCCCTACAGCTGCGCGGCCTGCGAGAAAAGCTTCAGCGACAAGTCGAGCCTCATCAGGCACGAGAGGATCCACACGGAGGAGAAGCCTTATAAATGCTCGGATTGCGGGAAGGGCTTCAACCAGAGCTCGAGCCTCATCGTCCACGAGAGAACCCACACGGGGGAGAAGCCGTTCAAGTGCTCGGACTGCGGGAAAGGCTTCATCCGGAGAACGATTCTCAACAAGCACGAGAGAACCCACACTGAGGAGAAGCAGTGAAAGTAGGCTGGGACTGCGACCGTGGCTCGGGTCATCTAAGCTGTGAAGAAACTCCGCTGGAATGAGACTATTAGGACTGATATAGTGGTAGCGATGCAGCTGTGAAACAAGAAGTCCCTGGTTTGGTGAGATCGCCTCTGTCGTGATCTCAGGTCACCGTAGGCGAGCCAGTTCTCCCAACCTTTGGAACGTGGATTCACACCTGGGCTGTGGCCCAACACAGAATTAGGCCTAATTAAAATCCACTGATTAGAGTGAGCCGAACATGCTCAACCCCAACGTCAGATGGGTTATGATCCTCATGTTTTTCCAGGGTGGGGAAAATGTCTGTGTTGGGGGAGGGAAATGGGTGAGGGGCTCAATACCAGGTATAGGCAGACTTCAGGCTTGCTGGTTCTAATTATTATTATTATTATTATTATTATTATTATTATTATTATTATTACATGAGCTTTGGTTTTTTTAAAAATCCATCTAAAAGGCTATCTATAGCAGGGAAGAAAAACAGACAGAAGCCCCCCCCATATTAACCAGTTTAATTGTGTTGCAATTGTGTTGTAAGGAAAATCACCTATAAGGCCTTTTCCAACTGCTCTTGAACAAGCTGAAATGGGTGGAGAAGTGGGAATATTTTCCACAGTGGACTGGCAATGGGAGTGGAGTTTCAATATAAATGACAAAACAGCCCATTTCCCCTCACCTTGGTATTCAGAGTTGGGTTCTTAGCTTGCCCAACACCGAATTAGGCCTCTTCTGCACTATACATTTAAAGCAGTATTGTATCACTTTAAACAGACATGACTTTCCCCTCAGAGCTTCCTGAGAACTGTGCTGTGTTTTTTAGACCCTTATTTCCCCTAGAAAACTACATTTCCCAGAATTCCCTCCAAAGGGGGCTTGACTGTTAAACCACTCATAAGATGGCAGCTCTGTGACGTAAACACAGAATTGTTAGGAGACCCCTGTTCCCCAAATCTGAGAGTCCATTCCTCTTCCCATGGAACTCTGGGAATTGTAGCTCTGTGAGGGGAATGGGGGGTTCCCCTAACTGCTCTCAGGGCCCTTCACAAACTACAGTTCCCAGGATTCCTTGGGGGAAGAAGCCATGACTGTTTAAAGTGGTGCGATACGGCTTTAAATTTATAATGTAGATGGGGGCCTTACTTTCAACCTTGAGCCTCGACAACTAAATCCAGGTGCAAAATATGGGTGATGCGGGTGGTGATGTGGTCTAAACCACTGAGCCTCTTGGGCTTGCCAAGCAGAAGGTCGACGGTTTGAATCCCCGCGACGGGGTGAGCTCCCGTTGCTCTGTCCCAGCTCCTGCCAACCTAGCAGTTCAAAAGCACACCAGTGCAAGTAGATAAATAGGTACCACCGCGGCAGGAAGGTAAACGGCGTTTCCGTGCGCTCTGGCACTTGTCACGGTCCTCCATGCACCAGTGGTTTAGTCATGCTGGCCACATGACCCAGAAAAGCTGTCTGTGGACAAACGCCGGCTCCCTCGACCTGAAAGCGAGATGAGCGCCGTAACCCCATAGTCGCCTTTGACTGGACCTAACCGTCCAGGGGTCCTTTACCTTTACCTTTTTTTACAAAATATGGAAGTAGAGGGTGGGGCCGCATACAAAATGGCGGCATGGGAGGTGTAGCTAATTACCAGCTGCGCCTCATGAGCCACACACTGGAGCAACCTGTATATACAATTGAAATTGTATAGCTTTGAGTTAGTGCTCATCAGGGATTTGGGGGGGGGGGTTTTGCGGTGAGGGTAAGCGGGTGAGCTTCCCTTAGGCCTCTAGGCGGTCATTGTGAGAATAGGATGCTGAACTAGACATGCCTTTGCCCTGCACTGCTGCCATATTTAAACAATTGGCCCCCAACGACTCCTGAACATGCATCACAAATTATCCAATGATCTACCTGGCAACCCCAGTCTACCTTCCACTTACCCCTGGTGTGGAACAGTTTCCCACAGCAGTCACATCCACAATGGTTATTTAAATTACACCACTTCCCACCACAAAAATCCTGGGAACTGTAGTGTGCTGGGAATTATAGTTCTGTGAACGAGAATTCTTCAGGGGAAGCCATGTTCTTTAAAGATGATGTGTGTGTGTCCCCCATTCAGCAATACCAGCATATCTTCTCGCATGGATACGGCACCCCTCTTGCACCCCGATTCTTTTATCCTGCATGCTGATTGTTCCTCTGCGGAGCCTTAAAAATAAAAGCCACGTTTTGAAGCTGTCTTGAGGCAGAGGAAGGTTCTTTTGTGTGACGATGAAGCAATTTATGCATCTGTAGCAAGACGCAAGTAGACATCCTAATAAACAAATAGTCTCTCTATAATTATTTTGGTCTTCTGTTGTGTTTGAGCAGCCTTCCAGGTACTGGGCAGCGGTCAATTCGCCCAATGGAATCTTTGGTGGAGGCGCCTGTCTAGAAAGACATGGCACGCAAGGAAACAGGAACGGGAGCAGAGGAGGAAAAGCAAGTTCAAGTAGTTCGCTATGGCAGCTCAGGTGAAGTGGTGGTCTCCCTACCAGTGGCAGGTGCTAGAGAATAAACAACAAAGAGGGGAGGGTTATCTTTGGGTTCTCTTCGTCAACTTTTGAGAGGCATCTGCCTGGACCCATGTTAGAAACAGGATGCTGGGTTCTGGTTCAGCGATACCCAAAGGGCCAGAGTGAAGAGGCTAAGAGAGCCCAGCAGGCTGGATTACTGCAATGTGATCTGTGTGGGGCTGCCCTTGAAGTTGCTCCAGAAGATGTAGCTGGTGCAAAATGAGGCAGCTTGACTGCTCAGTGAGGCAGGATATTGCCGACACATTGCTAAGTCTCAGGTGCCAGGATACCTGAAAGATTCTCAGCCGGCTTATATATCCAGTTGATCACTGCTCAGCAGGTGAGGGCCTCTTGCAGATTCCATCTTACTGGTAGGTCTGTTCCACGGAGTGGAGGAATCCCCCTTTGTAATTCCTCCCTGCTAAATACTAAACTGGCGTGTCTCATTTCAGCACCTACTGAAGCCCTCTTTCAACAAGCATTTAAAGCTAAGATCTTTCTTTTCCCAAACTGTATTGCAAGGTGCTTTTATTGTTTCATTACTCGTTCATTAGCTGGGCTCCCTTGTGAGGAGAGGTGGATAGAAAGTTAACTAATAAATCAGCTTTCTAAAATATTGCGGGGAAAACAACTCACTGCCTGCTTGTGTGTTTCTTGTCTGGGAAAGAAGAAGTATGTCCAAGATAACTTTCACCTCACTTAAGAGGTGACAACCAGGCTCTGCAACAAAATGTTGCAGTGTACAGGTGTACTGCTTTTTTTGTAGTCAACAGCCATTTTCTCCTTTATGAGGATATGTTCTATTCCATTCTTTCTCCCCACCTCCTCAACACTCCATGTTCTGGGACCAGATAAACAACTACACAACTCTCTGAAGGCAACCCTGTATCAAGAAGTTTAAAAACATCATACAGTACATTAAAATGTTTTGCTGTGTTTTAATATTATGTTGGAAGCCACTCAGAGTGGCTGGGGCAACCCAATTAGATGGGCAGGGTAGTAGTAATAATAATAATAATAATACCCCACCCATCTGGCTGGGTTTCCCCAGCCACTCTGGGCGGCACCCAACAGAGGACTAAAAACAGAATAAAACTTCAAACATTAAAAACTTCCCTAAACAGGGCTGCCTTCAGATGTCTTCTAAAAGTCAGATAGTTGTTTATTTCCTTGACATCTGAGGGGGGTGTTCCACAGGGCGGGCGCCACTACCGAGAAGGCCCTCTGCCTGGTTCCCTGTACCTTCACTTCTCGCAGTGAGGGAACCGCCAGACGGCCCTCGGCGCTGAACCTCAGTGTCTGGGCTGAACGATGGGGGTGGAGACGCTCCTTCAGGTATACTGGGCCAAGGCTTTCTGTTGGCAAATAGTATAATCCCATTTGGGTGGTGTAACCTCCAACATTGATTTTAGCTGTAGACCAAAGGGATCTTGAGGCCCATGGATACGAAATTAAAATGCACTCCTATACTTCTACCTAGAAGTCCCATTGATTTCAATTGGATTTACTCCCAGGTAAGCATGCATAGAATTGCAACCTGAGGTCATTAGGCATAAGACTGTTTAGAGGATTATCTGTATGGTGACCTTGGCATTAAAAAATAATTGTCGATGCACTCCAAATCTACATTTATACAATTTATACAATGCATAATTCCTTTAAAAAATTGGCAATTTGTGTCCTTCTTGTTTTGCTAGTCAAGGGATCTTTGAGACCCTGTAGTCTTGCCCTCAACCAAGGGAAATACAGTGGTACCTTGGGTTACATACGCTTCAGGTTACATACGCTTCAGGTTACAGACTCCGCTAACCCAGAAATAGTGCTTCAGGTTAAGAACTTTGCTTCAGGATGAGAACAGAAATCGTGCTCCGGTGGCGTGGCAGCAGCAGGAGGCCCCATTAGCTAAAGTGGTGCTTCAGGTTAAAAACAGTTTCAGGTTAAGTACGGACCTCCGGAACAAATTAAGTACTGGTACTTAACCCAAGATTTTCCAAGATTTCAGCAAGCACTTCCCAAAGAGTTGTTCAAAGCCACAAGGACTAGTAACTTGCACTTATTTTTCTATTTTAAAAAAATGTTTATTTGAGCAATAATATTCGTAAGCTGCCCACTAACATAGTTGCCTGGGCAGCTTCCAGTTACAATAAAACAAATCAAATATAGAGCAGAGAATAATACCAGCTTAACAACAACAAAAAATAAACATCAGCAACACCCAAAATGTGAAAGCTGGATGCTTCTAGAGACTGATGGCATTTTTTTTTATGTACTTCTCAGGAATTGTGGCATACACACCACCCCTGACTGTTAAACTGAATTTAAATCCAGGTGTTCAGAATAGCTTCTGTCCTATATCAATGGACAGCAAAAGAAAGCTGAAATATTTGAAAGGGCATATTCTCAGTCGGCCCCACCGTCACCCACCCCCAAAATGGATCTACTTTAGCAGAGAATATTCTGAAAGTGGATCTGTTCCAGAGCAGATCTGTGGGATTCCACACCAACACACCAATGACGCATTAAGTGGGGGACTATCGCAACTGTCCCATCGCTTCCTCGCAGGCAGGATCTGACCATGGGGACTGGCCACCTCAACCAAATCTGGAAGTGTTTCTTTGATGAAACCCTGTTATGACTTGAATGGCTTCCCTCGCTTTCAGATGGTGGCACAGACTTTGTGCCACTAGCCAGCCCAGGAGACCCAGACTGCACATGAACCTTCCAGATGGCAAAAGACCGGCAATTGCAGAATAGAATTATCAGAGCAGGATTTGCCCTGAAAACATCTAATTTCATATCTGCAAGAACGGACTGTTGTAATAGTTTTCCATGCTCTTTGATGTCACCAGCCAAACCAAGCGTTCTCCGTGAACTTTCGCTTTTACCCCTACAATTAATTCGCCTGTGGGAACACTGCAAGAGTTAGAAAGTTTTTGTTCTGAAGTGCGGTACTGCAATGAAGTAAAACGAGAAAAGCGAAAGGTAACGGGACATACGTATTAAGAATGCAGAGCTCAAGGATGAGGCCTGTGGGGTGAGGAACTGAAGATCACACTAACTAGCCACCAGGAAATTAGTGCTTTTCCCCCTAGACTGGACTGCTAGAGGCCTGGTGTGTGTGTGTGTGCTGATCCTCCATATGCAAAATTCACTGTAGATAGAAACATAACATGCCCAAGTTCCTTTTACTGATGTGCTAATTCTCTATGTGCAGGAAGATCCTGTCCCCAAATTAGGGAATGTTCAACTATGTGAATACCCCACAGCAGTGTAAAATTGTACAGCCCAGAAAAAGCTCTATCACATGACCCAACGGGAAGATAAAGCCTGTCGTGGTATATTCTGCATTGTTTCCTATGGCACCTAGCAGGAAATAATCCGCTGTGAGGTTTCTTCCTACCCTGCCAAAGCACGAGTCTTTCTAGAGTTGCTCTCCGGTGTGACTTTTCTGATGCCTGATCAGATTCGACCGGTCGCCGAAACTTTTCCCGCAGTCCGAGCATTTGAATGGCTTCTCTCCCGTGTGGGTCCTCTCGTGCGCGAGCAAGTTGGCGCTCTGGTTGAACCCTTTCCCGCAGCTGGAGCACTTGTAGGGCTTCTCTCCCGTGTGGGTCCTCTCGTGTTTGATCAGGCTTGACTTGTAAGGGAAGCTTTTCCCGCAGCGGGGGCATCCGTACGGCTTCTCCCCCGTGTGAGTTCTCTTGTGGACGGCGAGAGTCGTTTTGTTGGTGAAGGTTTTCCCGCAGTGAGCGCACTTATACGGCCTCTCCCCCGTGTGCGTCCTCTCGTGGACGACGAGGTTCCGTCTCTCGTGGAAGCTTTTCCCGCACTCGGAACATTTATAGGGTTTCTCTTCCGCCTGGGCCCCTACGTCTCTAGTCAGGGCTGAGTCGCCGCCGGAACTTTCCCCACCGTCTGAGGACGGATTCATTTTCTCCCCTTTGTGGGTCCTCTCATGCCTGAGGAGGTTCGACCTCTGAATGAAGCTTTTCCCGCAGTCCGGGCAGGCGTGCGGCTTCTCCCCCGTGTGAGTTCTCTCGTGCTTAACCAGGCTCGATTTGCTGGTGAAGCCTTTCCCACAACCCGAGCACCCGTACGGCTTTTCTCCGGTGTGAGTCCTCTCGTGCACGACGAGGCTCGACTTGTTCGTGAAGCTTTTCCCGCAGGCGCGGCACCGGTAAGGTTTCTCTCCCGTGTGGGTCTTCTTGTGCTTCACGAGGTTGCGCCCATCGTTGAAGCACCTCCCGCAATCGGAGCACTTGTGAGGCTTTTCCCCCGTGTGGGTCCTCTGGTGCACAATGAAGTTGGATCTCTGGCCGAAGCTCTTCTCGCACTCCAAACACTGGTAAGGTTTCTTCCTGGTGTGGGCTCTCTCGTGGATGAGAAGCTTGTACTTCAAGTTGTAGGCCCGGCCACAGTAAGCGCACTTGTACAGGCTCTCTCCGTTGTGAGTTCTCTCGTGCGCAAGGTGCTTCAATTTCTGGATGACACTTTTTCCACAGGCCGAAAACCAATATGGCTTCCCTCCCGCTTGGGTCTTCTTGTGCCTGAGGAGGGCCGACCTATAGCTGAACCTTTTCCCGCAGTCGGAGCACGCATATGGCTTCTCTCCTCGATGGGCCCTCTCGTGTCTGACCAGGCTCGATTTGTCAACGAAGCTTTTCCCACAGGCAGAGCACGGGTACGGTTTCTCTCCCGTGTGGCTTCTTTCGTGGATGACGAGGCTCAAGCTGTGGTTGAACCTCTTCCCGCACTTTGAGCACTGAAAGGACTCTTCTTCCTTGTGCATTACCTCGTGGGCATGAAGGTGCGACCTCTGAACGAAGCCTTTCCCGCACTCGGCGCATTTGTAGGGCTTCTCGCCCGTGTGGGTCCTCTCGTGGATGAGGAAGTTGGACCTCTGGATGAAGCCCTTTCCGCAGTGCGAGCACTTGTACGGCCTCTCCCCGGCTTCCATCTTCTCGTGCCTCAGAAGCGCCGACTTGTGGCGGAAATTCTTCCCGCACTCTGAGCATTTGTACGGCTTCTCTCCCGTGTGGGTCCTCTCATGCCTGGTCAGGATTGACCTCTGACTGAAGCTCCTCCCGCACTCGGCACACCGGTGCGGTTTCTCCCCCGTGTGGGTCTTCTTGTGCCGTACGAGGCTCGACCTCTGCGTGAAGCTCTTCTCGCAGTCTGGGCACGGGTACACCTTCTCCCCCACGTGGCTCCTTTCGTGGACGACGAGGTTGAGGCTGTGGTTGAATCTCTTCCCGCACTTTGTGCACTGGTAGGGCTGCTCAGGCTTATGCGTCATCTCGTGTACCAGCAGGTGCCACCTCTGGACGAAGCTTTTCCCGCAGTCGGAGCACAGGTACGGTTTCTCGCCGGTGTGGATTCTCTCGTGGATGAGGAAGTTGGACCTCTGGATGAAGCCCTTTCCGCAGTGAGAGCATTCGTACGGCCTCTCCCCGGCCTCCATCTTCTCGTGCCTCAAAAGCGCCGACTTGTGGCGGAAATTCTTCCCGCACTCTGAGCATTTGTATGGCTTCTCTCCCGTGTGGGTCCTCTCGTGCCGGGTCAGGATCGACCTCTGGCTAAAGCTCCTCCCGCACTCTGCGCATTCATAGGGCTTCTCTCCCGTGTGCGTCTTCTCGTGTCGGACGAGGCTAGACCTCTGCGTGAAGCTTTTCCCGCAGTCAGAGCATTTGTTCTCTTTCTCCTCCGTGCATCTTTTTCCATGGCCCTCTTCTGTCGGGATAAAGGGAAAGTGAACGAGTGAACGAGTAAGTTTGACCGGGAAGGGAAAATGTACAATGGGTTATCTTAACAATGGGCATGAATCTACTTATGTTGTCATGCATGTGGAATGCCTACTTGCTCAACAAATAAGATAGTTCAGTTGACAGGACATAAAACTCTTCATCTCAGGGTCATGAGTTCGAGTCCCACCTTGGGCAAAAGATTCCTGCATTCTGGGCCATTTGTCAAATTTTTAGAGACAACTATATGTACTTAGGCCCTGGATTCTTATTATAGCCTGGATAGCTCAGTTGGTTAGAGTGTGATGCTGATAACGCCAAGGTTGCAGGTTTGATTCCTGGATAGGGCAGCTGCATATTCCTGCATTGCAGGGGGTTGGACTAGATGGTCCTCTAAGTCCCTTCCAACACTATTATTATTATTATTATTATTATTATTATTATTATTATTTATTTCTCCTGCTACTACAGTGGTACCTTGGAAGTCGAATGGAATCTGTTCCAGAAGTCTGTTCAACTTCCAAAACGTTTGGAAACCAAGGCACAGCTTCCGATTGGCTGCAGGAAATTCTGCAGCCAATCGGAAGCCATGGAAGTCGTGTTGGACATTCGGGTTCCAATAATGTTCACAAACCAGAACACTCACTTCTGGGTTTGCGGCGTTCGGGAGCCAAAAAGTTTGATTTGCAAGGCGTTTGGGATCCAAGGTACGACTTATTATTATCCCTTTCCACAGATGGGTCTCAAGGCAATGTACAATAAAAACAGCTTTTTAAAGTTAAAAGCAACACACACACACACACAAACAGATATATTTATCCAAAACAAAGCAGACATCCAGGGCAGGGGCCCATACATTCAACTGGGAAAACCCATTGGAACAGAAATGTCTTCGATTGTTTCCAGAAAGTGCAGATTATCTCAACAAGAAAGCTATTCCACAGAGCCTGGAGGAGGATCGCACTTTTTCTTCACTGCTGTTGTTTCTGGAGACACATGTGCAGAACTCCACATAAATACACTCCCTTCTAGTCGATGGAGCAAACACAGAAGTTGTGCCTGAGAGCAAAGTGTAAATCAAGAGTCTAGCTTCACTTTGAGGATGGGGCGAGTATGATGAGAAAAGAGTAGACATTTGTGAGTATCTGAAGGGCAGTTAATGTACTGCAAATTATGAAGCCTCCCTGTGCCTGTAGTAGTCTTTGGTTCCAACAGCCACCACAGGCAGCTGTCGCTGGAGATTATCCTTCCACTTCGAAGCTTGCCCTGCATGTTGGGCGCAGAGAGAGCTGCTGCTGAAACTCAAGGCACAAATGCGGTTTCGATTTTACAAAAGCAGAATATCAGTAGATATTGTTGACCCGTCTCTCTGACAGTTATTTTAATGTCCAGGGTTGTAAAGACTGCGGAGAGAATAATTGGGTGCACTCTTCCCACATTGGATCAAATCTATGCTTCCAGGTGCCATAAGAAAGCTGCAGAGATAGCGCAGGATAGTTTGCACTCTGGAAATGATCTCTTTCAGCTTCTGCCTTCTGGAAGAAGGTACAGGGTTATAAAGACTAGGACTAGCCGTCTGAGATACAGTTTCTATCTAAATGCGATTTTGGTTTTAAACACATTGTAAGGAGTCTCTGTGGGAGTATATTGTATTTAAAAATGGGGGTATCAGAGTTTTTAGGGGGCTAACCAGGTTGGGATAGCTGAGATAGCAGGCTTGTTGGTTTCTGAATGTCTGATGTAGATTTTTCAATTTCGTTGTTCTGTATGGGACAATGACAATATAGATTATCGTATCGTATAGGATCTTGGAAGAGTGCTTTTATTTAGGGATCCAGACTTAGCTAAATAAACCTCTCACCTGAGTGGGCAGGTGGGGATGTTTCGTTTTCCTCAGAGCCCTGGTGATACACCACCCAAAGCTCGTCATCTTCTTCCTTCTTGATTATCACAGCAGAAAACCCTGGTGGGTGGGGAAGACACTTGTTAGTATGTTGATTTCAGTACGGGACTTTCGATTTTCAAAGCACTTCCCCTGCATCATCTAGTTGCAATCTTTACAAACAGCCCAACAAGCCCCCCCTCCATTTAACAGATGGGAAGACTGAGGCTGGGATACAAGTGGCTTGCCTAAGGGCAGCTACTAAGTGGATGGCAGAGGTGAGATTTAAACCAGGATTTCCCTTAACAGCCGCTACACCGTGCAAGTTGTCCTAAATGCAGAACGATATCCTGACCTCCAACAACGGGTTTCCAGGAAGACCCCTTCACCTCTCCCACAAATCCCAGGGCATCTCATGAGTCGGATTATCCCATCCCTCACTCAAGATGGGACACAACATTGTGAAAAGATTAACCATTGGGAAGCCAAAGAGCCACAGAATCACGGCAACCATCCAAGAGCCTGAGAAGAAGAAGAGTTTGGATTTGATATCCCGCTTTATCACTACCCGAAGGAGTCTCAAAGCGGCTCACATTCTCCTTTCCCTTCCTCCCCCACAACAAACACTCTGTGAGGTGAGTGGGGCTGAGAGACTTCAGAGAAGTGTGACTGGCCCAAGGTCACCCAGCAGCTGCATGTGGAGGAGCGGGGAAGCGAACCCGGTTCACCAGATTACGAGTCTACCGCTCTTAACCACTACACCACACTGGCTCTCTGAGAGCCACCTTCGCTTGGGGGGTGACCTTTGAGGAAGGTGGGGCCTGAGATTGGTGGGTGGGGCCAAAGGCAAAAGTGGGTGGAGCAACAGGTGTGGCTCTTACCTTTCTGTTTTAGGCTACATTCCAGCCAAACAATATTCTGAGGTCTCCACAGCTACCCACACACATCTCTCTGTCCAGACTAACAAGAAGCATTATCCCACACATTCCAGCAAACACACTTCTGCGTGGCCGGAATGTGGCCTACTGTACAATGATAACAGTCGCATCCACTGGTCCGCCCACTTTCTCCTCTGTCCCTGCCCATCGCTGGCAGGTGGCCCCTCAAAGGCTCTCAACGAGGCAATGTGGCCCTCGGAGGTGGGGAAAGTTCCCTGCTCCTGAATTAATTAGGCAGGTTTAAGGCCGCTCCTCACCCGATGATACCGTTTCTCTTTCTTGGAGAGAGGAGTTCAGTGGATTCGCTCCTTGATCTGATTTCTCCGGAAGCCACAGCTCCTCTTCCTGTTCCACTTTTATGATCACATCAGGAAACTCTGAAAAAGAGACATGTCCAGAGATTAAACATTTTTGGGATATGATCTATGAAGAGATTAAAAAATTGATAAAGGTTTCATATAGCAAAAGGGCAGAAGCATACTTATTCGGAATTTTGGGTAAGGATATCCCCAAAGATAAAATTAACATATTTCTATACGCATCAACAGCAGCGAGAATATTGGTAGCCAGCTAATGGAAAAGAAATACTATTCCAACAAAAAGAGAATGGTTAAGTAAACTATGTGAGTATCTGGAGTTAATTGACGGACTTAATAAGGCACAAATCCAAAATTATGGTACAGAGACAATGGGATTGTCTAAATGAGTATTTACACAAGCATGGCTCAAATATGAAAGTTTGGTTGTGCTTAGACTAACCTTGTGAAGAATATAAAGAATACAAAGAATTGATGGACTATGAGAGAACTTAAGGAAAGGAAGTGAACGAAGAACAGAGGTAAAGGTGAACTAGAAATTAAGAGACGTGTGGTGAATTTTAATTAGGATTTTTATAATGTAATGTTTAAAGTATAAATTTGGTATTATTGATGGATAGTAGTTTTTCCCCCTTTCTTTTTTCCTCTTTCTTTTTTCTTTTATCTTTCTTTTTTCTTTTCCTTTATCTGTTGTCTTTTTTCTTCTTTAGTCTGCATTTGATAAATATGTAGACGATTGTGTTTATATTGTTATGTATAGATTTTGTTCTGATTTTCCTTTTCTATTTACCTTGTAATATTTAATAAAACTAATAAAAATATTATAAAAAATGGAAACTCTGAAAAAGAAATATTAAAAGGGAATGAGGCCGAGAAGGTGGAGGGAGTCGATTTTGGGGTTTCGGTCCAGGACAAATGGTTTCTTTTCAATCAGCTTGTTTAAGCTCTCTCACCTTCTCCACTGTCCAACGGCATCTCCCTCTCCTTTTTGGCGGAAAGATCCGGAACCCATGGGTCTTCTCCAGGGTCAAGTCGAGAGAGCATGTCAGGTTCAGGAAGAGAAAAGGCTGAGAGGAAAGGAAAGAGGCAGAAACAGTCAGAAGCAACATTTTTTATAGCCATGTTAGTTCATATTCAGATTGTTGGTATTTGGAGGCACACATACCCAGAATTCTGCTTTTGCACATTTATAGCAGGTTTAAGGGTTCTGTCACCCTAGTGCAACAAATGCACTTTAAAAAACCCCAGACCTTTTGCAGGTTGGAAAGTAGATGGGGAAAAACATTAAAAATGAGCAGTGGTGAACAATCAATCAACAGGAAGATGTGTAATCGCTCCCCAAGCAAATCAGCATAAGTGCAGGGCAAATGTTCATTGTCTTATACAGTGGTACCTCGGGTTACATATGCTTCAGGTTATATACGCTTCAGATGACAGACTCCGCTAACCCAGAAATAGTATCTCAGGTTAAGAACTTTGCTTCAGGATGAGAACGGAAATCGTGTGGTGGCGGCAGCAGGAGGCCCCATTAGCTAAAGTGGTGCTTCTGGTTAAGAACAGTTTCAGGTTAAGAACGGACCTCCGGAACAAATTGAGTACTTAACCCGAAGTACCACTGTATCCTCCCTTAAAAAAAAAAAGCAACTCAATAATGACCAGGCATAGTCTAACCTCTGTGTTAAGTTTTGGGCAAGCAAATCAAGATGGAAGGTCAATGGTGGACCTTCTACCTGGTCCAAGTACACCTGCCACATAGCTATAGAGAAGCCAGGCTTAAATTTGACACACCCCAGGGCTCACTTTATGCACATTAATTCTATTATTATTATTATTATTATTATTATTATTTGCAACAACCCTGTAAGGTAGGCTGGTATTGTTATCGCCGTATGAATCATTTACCCAATTTACATCCTGCTCAAAGCAAGAGCAGCCAAGGCGGCTTTCTGAAAGCTAAAAAAGCGATAGGAATATGAATGAAAACCGGAAGCCACGTTTGAAGACGACTGGAAAACGTTTATTGAATAGATGGAAAATAATTGTGGACAGCTGAAAACGCTGGCAGCATTAAGACTAAATTCAACAGTGTAAATAAGTTCTGATGGCTGTAATAACTGAACACCGAATGGTTTAGTTTATGTAAAATATGCAAGGATTTAAGTTATGCAAAATGAACCATGGAAAGGGAAGAAGGGAAGTCATTGATGTTTTAAGATTGTTTAAACCGCCCTGAGACCCCCAAGGTATAGGGTGGTATGTAAATTCTAACAACAACAGCAACAACAAAGACTAAAGCTGTCAGGCAGAAAGTAAGTCAGACGTTTTCCCGACAGCAGGGGAAGGCGAGGACAGTATATGCAAATACTGACAAAATGATGAACAAATAAACAAGCGAATGGACAAACAAGTAAGTAAATAAATAAAACCCGAGTGTTATTTGGGGACTGTGATTTTTGGAGCACCACCACACTTCTGATCTTCTCGGTGCACAATATGCACACCGCTTTTGTTTCCAGATTCACCGCATTTAGACGAGAGGCGTTTATCCTCCCGGCTCCTGCCTCTCGATTTCTTTGTCTGCAGCTCATCTAAACAGGGGTAGCGGGGAAGGGGAGCGGGGCTCGGGGGCCTTTGCGAGGATGCGCTGCAAAAGGAAGACCCTTTGATTTTGTGGGGGGAGAGGTTTGCTTTCCGCCCCCCCTACTAATCTCTCCTACCTCTTCTTCTCTCTTCCCCTTAAAATGCAAGTTTCCCCCCTTCTCTTTCACTCACCCGCTCCTTGCAGCCTTTGCATTGCAGCCTCTGCGAATCCTGCAAACCCCAAATTTCTGCAAGGCGGCGTTAAATCCCCCCAAATCCAGAAAGGGGCGGGGGAGGGGGAACACACAGGAAGGAGGTTCGCTTTTTGCTTTTTTTTTTGCACTTCCCCATCTCTCATATCTTTATCTGATCCTCTCTAGGAACAGGCGGCTCTCTCCGCTTAACCCCTTGAGTCCACGGGGAGGGAACGGAGAGCAGCTGTCCGCAGAAACGTCCAAGCAAGTCCAGCCGATTGCATCTCCGCCGGGAGCTGGGTTCGAATCCCACGCGCGCCGCAAATACTCTTGCGGTTGCGTAATCATGCGAGGAGGAAAGGGGCGGGGAAACCTGCGCATAATTTAAAATTAAAAGAAAATGTAAAAGAAAAGAATTGCTTAGTAGAGAAAGGGCAGGGAAGGAGGGGTCGGCTGGGAAGCGCATGAATGAGACTGAGGGTGTTCTCTGTGTTGCAGCATTATTATTATTATTATTATTATTATTATTATTATTATTATTATTTACCGGCCTTTCAACTTGAGGTTCTAAGGCGGATTACAACAATCCGAAATACAGTTTAAAGACTTTAAAAAATACTGTCAAACTTTATATTTTACAAAAAGCAGCACATTTTCAGGTGTCGAAAGGAAAGGCCGGGGTAAAGAGCTGAGTCTTCAGAATTCACCAAAAGCTATATAATGAAGTATCCAACTGCATAATGGGGTGGTTCAGAGGAGAATGAACCTCAAGTCTCCCCATCTCTCTCTTTCTAATTGTAGAGTTGGAAGGGATCACGAGGTCCCATCTAATGATCTAACCTGCTACAATGCAGGATTTTTTTCAACTATCTGAGCTACCTTCAGATATATTTTTTTACTTTGCTTATAGGGTGGCTGGCTGCTGCACCTCAAAGCACTGCACTTCATTAAAGCCTGCTGGGAATTTTAGCTCTTGGGGGTGGGGGGGGGTAAACTACAATTCCCAGAATTCTTGGAGGGAAACTGTGAGACTACTTAAAAGTCTTCTACTTGGTAGCATGCCAATTCCGTTTTGTTTGCATGTCTCTTATATAGCGCTGGTACCTTTTGAAGAGATGGTGGCGAATTCCTTCAAGACAGAACGGCCTACACCAGATGCCGCTGTAGAGTTTGATTCTTCCATGGAAACCACACAGGAGGGTGTCGGGGAAGCCAGGTTGCTAGGTAGGAACTCTTTGGCCCTGAATTGTTGGACGGCACTCATCTGCTAGAGTAGGCGTAGCCAGGGCCGGCCCTCCCATGAGGCAATATGAGGCAGCCACCTCTGGCGACAGCATCTACAGTGGCAGCAGATCTGCCTTCCAAGAAATACATCACCTGCTGCTGCTGCTGTCATTGTGGCAGCAATGGCTGCAGCACACTCCTTAGAGGCCAGTCCTGCTGCCTCAACATCTCCTCCCAGCACGGTGCCTCTACAGCGACCTCTTGGAGAATAGGAGGCACTGCTGGTCTCCTCCCTGATGGATTGTTTCTGATGTAGATCGTCACTCCCTGCCCTCAGCTTGTTCCTGAGGTAGATCCACACTCTTCCTTACAGAGACCCCCTGCACAGGTTTCTCCCTATTAATGTTTGGCGATCTTCCTCTGTCCATTTCACTTCAGACAGCTGACACGGACACAACAATGTCCTCCCCGGTATCCTGAGAAGCCTCTCTCAGCAGCCATTCTCCTTCTCACACAGAGAGAGAAAGAAAAGCCGTTAAAAATGACAGTTACTGGAATAACAGTCACAACAGAAAGGAATGCCTCTCTCATGTGATTCACAGTCAGCCAATCACATGAGAGCTACTGCCAGATAAGGGAAAACCCCACGTTGAAAGTACACAGTACAGTGGTACCTTGGGTTACAGATGCTTCAGGTTACATACGCTTCAGGTTACAGACTCCACTAACCCAGAAATATTACCTCAGGTTAAGAACTTTGCTTTGGGATGAGAACAGAAATTGTGCTCCAGCGGCAGAGCAGCCACAGGAGGCCCCACTAGCTATAATAATAATAATAATAATAATAATAATAATAATAATAATTTATTATTTATACCCCGCCCATCTGGTTGGGTCTCCCCAGCCACCCTGGGCGGCTTCCAACAAAGTATTAAAATACAGTGGTCTGTTAAACATTAAAAGCTTCCCTAAACACGTACCTCAGTGGTTCCCTAAAGTGGTACCTCAGGTTAAGAACAGTTTCATGTTAAGAATGGACCTCCAGAATGAATTACGTTCTTAACCAGAGGTACCACTGTAATTTAACATAAGTAAACATTCCCATTGCAGGGAATTAAATCATTATCTTTAACAAGGGATGACAGGAATTGGAGTCTAGCACCGTCTGCAGGGCCACAGTTTCCCTACCCTGGTTTAAACCCATACCGATGGGTCTGCCATTCTCCTTATTTATAGCTCATTGCCCAGAACTGGCCACAGCACACAGGGTCCGGTCAGACTTGTGGGGTGAAATACCGTAATGGAAGTGAGCACTCGGTCACAGCATAATTTTGTGTCATTCTTCTCTGTGTGTTCCAGCAGAACATAAGCAAAAGGGGGCTGATGCAGGGAAGAAAGAGTGCAGGTGCTCTTGCTGTGAGAAAGCCTTCACCTGGAGATCTCACCTTGCCAGGCACGAGAGAATCCACACGGGAGAGAAACTCTATCACTGTGCCGTCTGCGAGAAGAGCTTTGGCCAAGCGTCACACCTCACCATCCACGAGAGAACCCACACAGGAGAGAAACCCTATAAATGTACCGTGTGCAGGAAAACCTTCATCCAGAGCTCGGCGCTTCTGAGGCACATGGTGCGCCACACGGGCGAAAGAGGCCATAAGTGTCCGCACTGTGGGAAAAGCTTCAGGCGGAGGTCACAGCTTGTTTGGCACATGCCTAACCACATAGGCGAGAAACCATACGAATGTGCAGCGTGTGGGGAAACCTTTGTCCAGAGGTCAGCCTTTTTTAGGCACATGATGCGTCACACTGAGGAAAATGGCTTCCAGTGTTCGCACTGTGGGAAAAGCTTCCAGTGGAGGTCACACCTTGTTAGGCACATGCCCATGCACACAGGTGAGAAACTTTATAAATGTTCATGGTGCGAGAAAACCTTCACACAACTGTCCACCCTCCCTATACATGAGAGAATCCACACGGGGGGAAAGCCATATTCATGCTCCACCTGTGGGAAAGAGTTCATTGCTAGAGCTCACCTTGTTGTACATGAGAGAAGCCATACAGGGAAGAAACCCTATAGTAGTAGTAGTAGTAGTAATAATAATAATTATTATTATTTATTATTTATTATTTATACCCTGCCCACTCTGGGCGGCTTCCAACAAAAAGATTAAAAATACATTAAGACATCAGGCATTAAACACTTCCCTAAACAGGGCCGCCTTCAGAAGTCTTCTTAACGTGAGATAGTAGTTCAGTGGTTTTCCATCGCTGGGTCTCTGCCTTTTTAAGCAAGTTGCTGGGGCAACCCAGTCTGACAGGTGGCGATGATGATGATGATGATGAAGAAGAAGAAGATGAAATTCCCCTGAGCAGCAGGGCTTGACTAAGGAGGCGCACAGGCCACAAATCTCCTCCACTGTGACTGCCCTATTCAAATTACAGCAATTATTTCCAAATTTGCATTTACCCATGCAAATTAGTATTTGCAAATCTGTGCCCTCTTTTGTCCTTCTCTTTCCTCCCAGTGGGGGGGGGGGTGTTGCTGAATTTCCTCTTCGGGGAAGCACAAATGCGGCCACCTCCCCCCCCCCCGCTCCCCCAAACGCAACATCACAAAAAGCAAGTGTGGGCAAAGTGAGGGCACAAGAGGCTCTTCGCCGGTTGCGAGCGCGCATGCTCGTGCCAGGAGCGTGGGGGCACATCCCTGTATCATAATAAGAGGCAGGAAAATTTCTCTCCTCTCTGTTTCCCCCCCTGATTTGCAGTTTATTCACTCTATCTGGCCTGTCTTCTTCGTCGTCTCTGTGACCTCTCCAAAAGGGGGCCCGTTTGGTTTGAGCTGCCCGGAATAGCGCCGCAAACACCGCGATGTAAGGTACAGACTCCCCAAGCAAAAACCCATTTTGCACCCAGCTCCCAGCTGCCTGGGAAACTCGGGGGCGCATCAATTGAACAAGCTCCTTTCTGGACGGCAGCAATAAAACCCTCCCCATAGTGAAATTTGGAAAGGACCAGGGCAAAATGTATTTTAGGAGCCAGATTAGGGGTGGGGGGAGCGGCTAGGCTTGAAGTTCATCCCATTTCAATATCAGCTTTTCTTTTTCTTGTCTGGCATTCCTCCCCCCCCCGCCCCCGTTCCTTGTTTCCCCAGCTAGATTTGGGGACAGAGGAAACGAGGCCTCTCCAATTGCACCCAAGGGGTGCAATCTCTGACACCTCGATTTTTAAAACTATTCCTTCCTTATGCTCCCGCACAATGTAGTTCTCCTTTGGGTAGGTCCTTTGGTCCCTAAAGGGGCATTGGACTGCATTCCCCATCAGGCCTCCCTCTCTCTCTCTCTCTCTCTCTCTCTCTCTCTCTCTCTCTCTTTCTTTCTCTCTCTCTCCAACCTCCCCCCCCCCCCGCAGCAGGATTGTTGTAGGAATTTGCAAAGTTCGTTTGTAATTTACCCCTTCGTTCTGATTGGCGGAGCCAGCAGTCCCCGCCTCTCTAGGTGTGCAACGCGGCAAAAAATAAATAAATATGAAAGTTGTGGTGCCTGAAGGAAGCCCCAAAAGCCGAACGAGTGCCCAATTCTCTCTTGTTAGGACAATCAGACCTTTTAAGCTGAGCTCTTCCCCAGTTTGCATCTGTATGCTGGAATTGCTTTAAATATGTTTTTATTGTTTTATCGTTTGTTTGCCACCCTGGGCTCATCAGGGAGGAAGGGTGGTATATGGAAGTTTAATAAATCGTAGAAGTGGTGGAGTCAGTTGTGTAGGATAGGGGGTTTCTGCAGTCTTTCGTTGCACTGTTAAAGGCCATGGCTCTGTGGTGAAGCACAGAACATCTCCCTGTGCTCCTTGTGGCATCTATGATTCTACACCTTGGAGGTCCCAAGTCACAAGGTGGTTAGATTGGTCTCAACTAGGGCCAGGGCCTTTTCAGTACTGCCCCCGACTTGGTGGAACGCTCTGTCACAAGAGACCAGGGCCCTGCGGGACTTGACATCTTTCCGCAGGGCCTGCAAGACAGAGCTGTTCCGCCTGACCTTTGGCTTGGACTCAGTCTGATCCTTATGTTTCCCGACCCTTATGGTTTTGATCTATGGGCTACTATTAAAATGAGGCTGCATTTTAAATTATATTTTAACCTGTATATTAAATTGGGGTTTTGTGTGTTGTTGTTTTTTGTAATTTTACTGGTGTTAGCCTCCCTGAGTCTGGCTCTGGCCGGGGAGGGCAGGATATAAATAAAAAATTATTACTATTATTATTATTCACCCAGGAAGGACAGGGGAAAGACTGAATCATAGGATTGTAGAGATGGAAGGGCCCCATCACCCAGGCCTAGCTAGGTGGATAAAAAAAGGAACATGACTTTGTATAAGGCAGGCTCCCGATCTTCCAGCTGATTTGTAAAAAATGAGGCACAGAGATTAAGTTTCCTTTGAATCTCCTCCCCCAAATGATGCTTCATTTTGCTTTATGGTGAGAGCAGCCCAGACTCCTGGACTTCAATAAATCATGAAAAGTCTCAGTGGGAGGTTCTCGGATGTGTACAAACCATTAGGTCATTACCATATATTGGAGGAAAAACAGCTTTTTAAAAGTGGTAGGCTCCAGTCCTGTACACACATTAACACATATATACTGCTTGATATTTTAAGTATAGAATCATAGAATCATAGAGTTGGAAGAGACCACAAGGGCCATCGAGTCCAACCCCCTGCCAAGCAGGAAACACCTTCAGAGCACTCCTGACATATGGTTGTCAAGCCTCTGCTTAAAGACCTCCAAAGAAGGAGACTCCACCACACTCCTTGGCAGCAAATTCCACTGTCGAACAGCTCTTACTGTCAGGAAGTTCTTCCTAATGTTTAGGTGGAATCTTCTTTCTTGTAGTTTGGATCCATTGCTCCGTGTCCGCTTCTCTGGAGCAGCAGAAAACAACCTTTCTCCCTCCTCTATGTGACATCCTTTTATATATTTGAACATGGCTATCATATCACCCCTTAACCTCCTCTTCTCCAGGCTAAACATGCCCAGCTCCCTTAGCCGTTCCTCATAAGGCATCGTTTCCAGGCCTTTGACCATTTTGGTTGCCCTCCTCTGGACACGTTCCAGTTTGTCAGTGTCCTTCTTGAACTGTGGTGCCCAGAACTGGACACAGTACTCCAGGTGAGGTCTGACCAGAGCAGAATACAGTGGCACTATTACTTCCCTTGATCTAGATGCTATACTCCTATTGATGCAGCCCAGAATTGCATTGGCTTTTTTAGCTGCCGGGTCACACTGTTGGCTCATGTCAAGTTTGTGGTCAACCAAGTATAGTAAGCCTGCAATTTACGTTACGTTTCAGGGATCAGGTTTGGGGGTTTCAAGCACATAAAACAAGGTCCAATCTTCTGGGTCAGGAAAAGCCTGGGCAAAAAGCTAAGTCCTTGCAATATATCCCAAGTAACTGTTAATTATTTAACTCTAAGTTTGCATGCATTTGATTGCACCACACCATAGCCTGCTTCACAAACTATGGCTTACTGTAAACTAGAAAGTGTGGTGTTCATCTTT